TGGGAGGACAGGCCAGCTAAGCAGAGACAGAGAGTGGCAGAGTAGCAGGCATTAGGAAGAGAAAGGCAGGTGGGTGGAGCAGGTGGGGACCCTGAGGAGGTGGCCCTCACCTGGAGTCCAGAGGAGGCAGCTGGGAGGACCAGAGGAGAGCTCTGGGCAGGGGCAGGGTGGAGGGAGCTGGGGAGCGCTGGGCAGGGGCGGGGTGGAGGGAGCCAGGGAGCGCTGGGCAGGGGCGGGGTGGTAGGAGCCGGGGAGCTGTGGGCAGGGTCAGGGTGATGGGAGCCAGGGAGCGCTGGGCAGGGGCTGAGTGGAGGGAGCTGGAGGCACTGGGCAGGGGCTAGGTGGAGGGAGCTGGAGGCACTGGGCAGGGGCTAGGTGGAGGGAGCTGGAGGCACTGGGCAGGGGCTAGGTGGAGGGAGCTGGGGAGCGCTGGGCAGGGGCTGAGTGGAGGGAGCTGGGGAGCGCTGGGCAGGGGCTGAGTGGAGGGAGCTGGAGGCACTGGTCAGGGGCGGGGCGGAGGGAGCCAGGGAGCGCTGGGCAGGGGCTAGGTGGAGGGAGCTGGAGGCACTGGGCAGGGGCTAGGTGGAGGGAGCTGGAGGCACTGGGCAGGGGCTAGGTGGAGGGAGCTGGGGAGCGCTGGGCAGGGGCCGAGTGGAGGGAGCTGGGGAGCGCTGGGCAGGGGCTGAGTGGAGGGAGCTGGAGGCACTGGGCAGGGGCGGGGTGGAGGGAGCCAGGGACCACTGGGCAGGGGCTGAGTGGAGGGAGCTGGAGGCACTGGGCAGGGGCCGGGTGGAGGGAGCTGGAGGCACTGGGCAGGGGCTCGGTGGAGGGAGCCGGGGAGCGCTGGGCAGGGGCCGGGTGGAGGGAGCCGGGGAGCACTGGGCAGAGGTGGGGTGGAAGGAGCACTGGGCAGAGGTGGGGTGGAGAGAGCAGGGAGTGGCGGCTCCTGGCAGGGCTGCCTTCAGTGCCTCCCACTTCTGGAGCTGAGTCTCCTGGGAGTCCCCGTGGCTCCATGCCCGGCACAGACACTGCTGGCTGCTGCCGCCCGTGCTGCCCTTCACGTGTTGTGGGGGACCCAAGGGTCTGGCCCTGCCGGCCTCGTGTTCCGCATCCATAAGACAAGCGTCAGAACAGTGTCCACCTCTAAGGGACCCCTGTGCTTCAGATGACCCGCAGTCCTCCCGGCAGGAACCGCCCCACACCCCTGCAGCCTCTCCCGCAGCCCGCAGCATGCCCGGCCTTCGAGCGGCTGCCTGCCCCCTCCCCTCCACGCTGCCCATCCAGGGCCTGCTCTTGGGGTGCCTTCTTTCTGAGGGCCCACCCCAGCCTCCCCAGCAGAGCTGCCTGTCCCTTTCTCCCCCCAGAACTCCCTCCCCGTGCGCTTCCTTCCTGCTGTCTGTGAACCTTGGGGGCCAGACCTCGGCCCTCCTGGTGACCCCGTGTCTCCTGGTGACTCTTGTTTCTCCCAGTGACCCCATTGTCTCCTGGGGACCCTGTGCCTCCCAGTGACCCTCGTCCCTCCCGGTGACCCCATGTCTCCTGGTGACTCTTGTTTCTCCCGGTGACCCCGTGTCTCCTGGTGACCCTCGTCCCTCCCGGTGACCCCATGTCTCCTGGTGACTCTTGTTTCTCCCAGTGACCCCATTGTCTCCCAGTGACCCCGTGTCTCCTGGTGACTCTTGTTTCTCCCAATGACCCCATTGTCTCCCGGTGACCCTGTGTCTCCCGGTGACCCCATGTCTCCTGGTGACTCTTGTTTCTCCCAGTGACCCCATTGTCTCCTGGTGACCCCATTGTCTCCCGGTGACCCTCATGTCTTCAGGTGACCCTGTGTCTCCTGGTGACCCTTGTGTCTCCTGGTGACCCCGTGTCTGCTGGTCCTCACAGGTGCTCAGTAATGAGGACCCTGGAGAGCGCAGCCTGTGTGTTCCCGTGTGGGATTTGAATACACAGTGTCCGAGGCAAGCGTAGTGGTGGGTGGTTCTGGGCATAGACGTGGGGCTTGATGGTCTGTATGTAAACTGTCTCTGTACCCCCCTCCAGCCTTTCCTTTCTCCCCTTCCCCGCAGACAGACCTTGGGCCTCTGTTTCCTCATCTGCATAATGGCGACAGCAGTCAGACCTACCCAGAGGGCTGTCATGGACCCCAGTCCACTCACAGTTCGTGAGCCGTTTAGAGCAGTACCTGGAACTGTGGGGTGGGGTGGCCAGGGGCCGCCAAGTGACCCGCACGGCATATCTGTGCACGTGAGTTTATTTAAACAGGCACATCCTGAGTTCTCACTCTCGTGCCCTTCCTGAGGGTGGGTTGACAGCACCCTGCCGTGGGGCTGGCTCCCTTCTGTGCCTGGATAGTGGTGAACTTCTTGTCACTGGAGGGACTCGGGAAAATTGGTTCAGGTGGGTTGTGCCAAGGAGGTACTTTGTTCCTGCCTGCTGGTCTGCAGACCCCGGCCTGGAATGAGGTGCTGGACGCCGCCGTTTCCGCCTACTGGTCTGCAGATCCTGGCCTGGAATGAGGTGCTGGATGCCGCTGTTCCGGCCTGCTGGCCTGCAGACCCCGGCCTGGAATGAGGTGCTGGATGCCTCGGTTCCCGCCTGCTGGCCTGCAGACCCCGGCCTGGAATGAGGTGCTGGATGCCAGAGGAGGTTTCTTCAGAGCGGAGCGCATTCAGCCCAAGGGGGCCTGGCCCGGGTTTCTCTTCCAGTGTTGAGGTTGTTGGTAGACGGGGCAGGTGGCTGCTGTGCCTCACCAGGAGTCCTCCCCACCTGGGAGTGAGGTCACACCAGGGACTGGGGCCAGATGGCCGGGGAATGGGCTTGCTAATGGTTGGACGAGCGTTGTGCCCGCCTCCACCTCAGTATGCAGCTCCGATGAGACACAGAATTGAAGGCTCAAGGAGGGGCTGGGGCCCGCGGCAGGCCTCTCCTTCCGAGAGAGAGGAACGCGAACGTCCACAGGAATAAATGGAAGGACGCTGGCATTGAAGCTGGAGTATTCACAAGGCCTGACATGGACGCAGCCCACAGTTGTCCGCCAGCGATGGGTGGGTGTGTGGACCACCGTGGCCGCTGTACAGTGGAGTGGGTTCAGCCCAAGAGAGGAGCGGCGCGCCGCCGCACCATACTGTGTGGAAGAGCCAAACGCAGGACAGATGCGGCCCCTCTCCGGGCAGAACACGCGGCAGTGAGTCCCGAGGGACAGAAAGGAGTTGAGAGGCTGCAGGGCCCGGCCAGGGGAATGCGTGGTGACTGTCGTGGGCTCGTGGGCTTTTTGAGGTGGTTGTAAAGTTGATTGTGGTGATGGTTGCGAAACTGATTATACTAAATATCATTGCGTTGTACACTTTACATGGGGAATGTTGTGGTAGGGGGATCACATCTCAGTGAAGCTGTTTTAATAAAAATGTGGGCCCTGGGGTGTGAGCGCTGGTCCGGCGGTGGGAGGCCGTGCCTCCTCGGGCAGGTTTCTTGTGGCTTCTGCTGGAGGCTTCCCCTGAGAAGCCAGGTGGCTACAGCCCGTGCCTCCTGCAGGTGCCGGGGGATTCGGGGAGCCCAGCCCCAAATCTCTCCTGTGGAAGGTAGGAGGTTTTTTTGTTTTAAGGCTCGTCGAGTGAAGCCGTTGGCGTGGAGAAGGAACAAAGAGATCCGTAACTGACGGTTGGTTGTAAACACCGCTGCACTCGGCCGGCAGGACTTTTTTTAAATTGCCCTTATTTGGCTGTGGAAGTTGGCAGCCCTGTGTCCGCCCCATGGAGTTTAGCTGAGCCGCTCCTGGTTTATGAAACCCCAGCGCGCGGAAAGCAGGGAGGGCACGTTTGCCACAGCTCCACCTGGCGGCCCTGCCCTTCCCTGATCTGTGTGAGGGTTCAGGTGCCCGCCGCGCCTGCAGGAGGGTGGGGGAGGGCTGGGAGGGCTGCCTCAGAGCCTGCTTCATTTTATTTTTTTATTTTATTTTATTTTAAATTTAATTTTTGAGACAAAGTCTTGCTCTGTCGCCCAGGCTGGAGTGTGATCTCCGGTCACTGCAACCTCTGCCTCCCGGGTTTAAGCAATTCCCCTGCCTTAGCCTCCTGAGTAGCTGGGATTACAGACCCCTGCCACCACACCCGGCTAATTTTTGTGTTTTAGTAGAGATGGGGTTTCACCATGTTGGCCATGCTGGTCTCGAACTCCCGACCTCCAGTGATCCACCTGCTTTGGCCTCTCAGTGCTGGGATTACAGGTGGAGCCACTGCAACCAGCCAGGGGGCCTGTTTTAAAAGAGAGATCAGGGTATGAACCCTTCAACAACTCGGGCGCGTGGCAAAGGCTCTGCTGTCCGCTTTAGCTGCGTGTGTGCGTGGCACAGGTCGGTGGTGTGTGTAGAGACCCTCCTGGTGTGTGGCACGGGTTGGTGGTGTCGTGCGTAGAGACCCTGACAGTGCGTGTGGCATGGGTTGGTGGTGTGTGTAGAGCCCCTCACAGTGCGTGGCATGGGTTGGTGGTGTGTGTGGAGACCCTGATGGTGCGTGTGGCACGGGTTGGGAGTGTCACGTGTGGAGACCCTCAGGCACCTGCTGCCCTGTTTCTGATGTGATGGGTCAGTGTCTGCCAGGGGTGTGGGGACTCCAGTCCGTTTGGCACGAGCATCAGACGTACACTGTCTTGTGCACACTTGACAGTAACATGTTCTCTGTCTTGCCTGTGAGGAAGCTGCGGCGTGGAGGTGGGGTTGTTCACCCCGGGTCCAGCTGGGGAGTGGTGGGGCTGCGATGGGCGCCGGTGGTGGTTGTAGCCCGTGTGGGTCCTGGAGTTCTTCCTGCAGCTGTGTGAGGCCTTGGCCGGCCCCTGCAGTGGGGAGCAGCCAGGCTAGCTCCAGGCCAGTTCTTGGTGTCCCGGGGTAGGCGCCATGTGCCTTGTCTGCCGGGCGCTGTACCTGCCACGCCGGTCCCTGCAGGGCCCTCCGTGCAGCCTGGCACCCCATAAACTCGGTCCTTCTGTCTTGTCCCTTCTAACAGGGACCCGGACATGGAGCTGCGGGAAGAAGCCTGGTCTCCGGGGCCGCTGGATTCTGAAGACCAGCAGATGGCGAGTCACGAGAACCCAGGTGAGCGGCCCGAGTCCGTCCCGGCCGGCCCCACTGCCTCCCACCTGACCCTGGCTTCCGGCCCCACCGCCTCCCACCTGACCCTGGCTTCCGGCCCCACCGCCTCCCACCTGACCCTGGCTTCCGGCCC